TAAAATAAATGCACAAAATTTAAAAGAAGACATCGGATGTAATTTTCACTTTTGTTAACTTTTTCTGACTTTTTTTCTGGCGGGTCTGACAGCTCAGAAAAGCTGAAAAGAAAACACACATACAGCCCTATAAAGTCTGTTTTATTTTTTCCCGAATTCTGTTTCATTTTATTTTCATTTTAACTTTTCTGAATTCCATTTTTTTCTATTTAATTTTTTTTAGACTCTGTTTTAATGGTTAAATAAAAAGTATATTAATCAAAATAACATGTATAATTAATCGAAGTCATGGAACTTACACAATTTAACCTCAACTTATGAAAAGTTTAAGTTTGGTTTTATTTTTAACAAAAGCTGTGTTTAACATTAACTTTCTGGATTCCATTTTAATTATCTCATTCCATTTTAATAATAAAAAGCATCTCTAATTAATTGATTTTATTAAAAAAAAAAAATCTTATTTTTTTCATAAATAATGTGTTGTGTATTTAAATTTTTTTTCTGGTAAATAAATTCTGGTAAATATTCCTTAACCCTCTGGCCCTCTTCGTTTAGGAGTCACACTTGCCTCCTTTGTGGTCAAAAGTGACTGAAGCCTTGAAATTAGGGGTGTCCCCGACTAAGGATTTTCATAGTCGAATCGGAGTTTTCGAATCTTGCCGATAGTCGACTGATAGTCGAATCATATGTTTTGGGGGCGGGGCAAAATACATTACCAAGAGTCAAGTCAGACATTCGACAGTCATAATTACGTTAACACACAAGGAAAATGTGTAACGGACGCCTTGCAGATAACGGAGTAAATAATGTTTTATGTTTTGATTAAAAGATAGTTAACATGAAACGTCAGCGAAGCCCTAAGAATTCACAACATTTTTTTACAATAGTGCTCTCATTATAACATATGTATATGACAGTAGTTATTAATGTTTTGCATTTCTGTTTTGAGCTGCGCGCTGAAGATGACCAGTAGAATGAAGCATTTGATATCAGGTTTTTAATCAATGGGATTTAATTAATCATTTCTCACTGGGCAAAGTTACGTCCAGTGGACGTCTTTTTGAAGTCTGTGCACACGTTGGAAAGACGTCCACTGAGGAGCCAGAATGAAAGTTTTTATGAGGTCTTTTTTTTTACGTGTTCTGCGCGTCCGATATATACGTTCATGGAACCTCCGTACAAGGTTAAAAACTAGTTAAAATGTGGTCAGTGGACATTACTTTCAACATCATTTAAGGTTAATTTAGACAATTTATACTGTTTCTGGACCAAATAAACATTCTCAGTGATGCATTAGATTTAATCTCATGTTATTTCAATGTAATTTCCATTTGTAATTGCAAAGCAACTCAAAGACACTGTGTTTGTCCAAAAATCATGGAAATAAAAGAATCTTCACTGAAACAGTGTTGAAGTTTATGTGATAATTAAATGCTCAAATAACTGATGATTGAACATTTGGGAAAATCAACTGCAAATAAAAGACATTAAATCTCTCAAGATCTCAGCAGAGGAGGATTAAACATCTCCACAAACAGCATCACCAGCTTCACTCATTAGATTGACTTTCTTTCTGTCAGACATCTAGAGAAGCTCTTATT